ACCGGCGGCCGGTCATCCAATCCGCTGCACGCCCCCCGCGCCGTGAGTCCGGCCGCGAACCGCGCTTCCCCTGCGGCGCCGTGATGCGGCCCGGCCTCGCCATGGGGCTGGGGCTGGGGCTGGGGCCGGTGCTGGGCGCGGTGGTCGCGCGGCTGCTCTTCTACCCGACGCTGCTGTACACACTGGCGCGGGAGCGCCTGCCCCTGCGCCGCCGGCCCGGCTTCCATCGCATCGATGGCTCCGTTCTGCTGGGCGCGCTGCCGCTGCGCGCGCGGAGCCCCCAAGTAAGGCAGGCAGAGGCGGGGGCGGCCGGGGCCGGGCAGGGCTGAGGTGAGCTGACTGTGTCCCCCCATGCAGCTGGTGCAGGAGGAGAATGTGCGCGCCGTGCTGACCCTCAACGAAGACTACGAGACCCGCTTCCTCTGCTTCTCAGCAAGGGTGAGCGGCGCGGGCCGGGTGGGGAGGGGCGCCTGCATCTGGGGCAGGGCACGCGCGGGCTTCCTGAAGCTAAGCAGGGGCAGCCTGCGGATGGGAGACCCCAACGCACAGCCGGCGCCCGCCAGCCTGGACCACCGCCCCCCCACCCGGCCGGCAGGAGCCGCTCTCCCCATAGGAGCGTGGTGGTAAGGCCCCTCCACCCTGTAGGGGCCCGGCACCCACAGGAGCACACGGCTGGTTGCCAGCTGGCCTTTCCCAGGAAGGAAAGCAAAGGTAGGGCACTGCTGCTGCTGTGGTGGCTTGCAGCTGTGTGAACATGCAGCACCCTAGCTGCTCTCTCGCAGTCACCTTCAGTTCCCCTTCTTCACCCAGGAGCTTTGACTCTATTGGTGAGGGGGACATTTCTTCTACATCTCTTCCCTCCACCCATGTCCATGCACAGGTCCTGTATTTTCCTGTTGTCAAAAGCCCCACAACTGATTTAATCCAGTTTCTATTTCAGGAATGGGAGGCCATGGGAGTAGAGCAACTGCGTCTCAGCACAGTGGACCTGACTGGAGTCCCTACACTTGAAAATCTGCAGAAAGGTGTTGAATTTGTCCTGAAACACCGAGAATGTGGTAACAGTGTTTATGTGCACTGTAAGGCAGGCCGGTCACGCAGTGCCACCATGGTAGCAGCATATTTAATTCAAGTAAGGAGATGTTTATACCAAAAAGGGCATATTTTTGTAAGAAGCTCTGGGCAGGTGCTATGCTGCGCTGTTCTACACAAGCTGTTTCTAGTCAAGAAATTCAGCTGAGTGCAAGGCCCAAGAAACTACTGCATAGACAACAGGGGTTTTACTCTGCATGAAGTATGATTTTAAAAGTTGTGCAAGAGTTTACAGTTTTACTGAGCCTGGCCTGTTTGACCATTTGAGAAAAGAGGGGACTTCAGAACATGTGGTTAGCTCTCCTCCTCATAGGATGGATTTTCCACCAGTCAACCCCCTTAACTCTTGTAGAGAGGGACAAGCACAGTGTAAATGAACAAGTGAAACTTCTGCTTGTGGAACCGATATGCAAGAGATCTTTAATACGGCGGTCCTTGACTTACAATGTTTTGAGTTACAGCATTTCACACTTACGACCTTTATAAATTGACACCCTGTTGCAACTTTCTGTTGTCAGTTTCGACTTTACAACACTTGATCTGACGCCAAGCCATGCCAGCGAACAAGTTCGCTGCAGCACCCATCTCCCTAGAGAACATCTGTCCAAACTTCCTTGGACATTTTCTTTAAGAAAACAGACAAGACTCCCAAAAAAGCTGCAGCCAAGACTCCTGAGAAGACTCCAGCCAAGAACCCTTCAAAAAGTCCAACCAAGAGCTCTTCAAAACGTCCAGCAAGGTCTCCTCAAAAAAGTCCTTCCAAATCAATATGATTGCTATTTACAATATAAATACATTAATGTAGCTATATTACTCATCTGTATTTGACTGAGTACAACATTCTGTGTTATTTTTGGTGAAAATAGGGTATCGGCCCTTGGTTTAGGAACCAGTCCCCTATTTATAACATTATTTCCTATGGGAAAATTGATTCCAAGTTGCAATGTTTCGACTTAAGACGTGGTTTTCAGGAACCAATTGTGTTGTAAGTCTGAGGACTGCCTGTATTCCAGTTTTCCTCTCAGTGAGCACTGACATTATTGTGGGAGGAAGCCTCTGGTATTCAACTTCCCCTGCCCTCAAGACAATGACAAGCTAGAACTTACTGGCTAGTGAAATGACAATGTCACTGTCATCTTACACAGCTTGTCTGATTGTCATTCCCCTGCACAGCTTTGCCTGTGACAGTTAAACTGTCAGCATGGACACTGAAAATGGAACTTGAGTAGCGGTGTTTCCTGATTGTTATGTGCAAGAGTAGAAACTACTTCACGGAACTTCCTAAGCCTCAAATGACATAATGTGGTACCTGTGGCTACTTTCTGAATAGCTCCTCAAGGAGCTGTTATTCTAATCTGGAATTCTCTGGCTATTCCGTAATTCTTGTAATAGAAGCCTGTGACTAGCTCTGCCTCCCCTATGGATCAGGGTGGCTGGATCACTACGTCTGAGCACACAGAGCTTGAAGAAAACAAAAAAGAAATCTTCAGAGCCGAGACGGAAGGGAAGCTTATCAAGCAGTAACTGGAATTTTCATATAATAAAAGCCTTAGTCTGCCTGTCTGTCTGTAATGCTTTATTTGCACTCTGATTGGTTGTGTCAGCAGCCAGTCACAATGCTGACTTAAACAACCAATCAGTGCTACAAGAGCATTCTAGACAGGAGGCGGGGAGCAGGAGGGTGAGGCCAGCACTGTACTCCGATTGGCAAGGGGGAGGCACGAAGCCATTCCTGATGGGCAATTGGCTAGTAGTTCTATAATGGTCTACTTAATGCATGAAGAAAGTTAACTCAACCATACAAAATTGAATTGAACAGTTAACAGTGCAACTGGATGAAGATTCGTAACTGCATAGCCCTGGTAGTGAAGGTGTGCATGCAGCTGTTAGTATTTCTAGATATTAGCTGGGAAGTTCTCCTTTCAGGTTCTGCATTAGTGGCAGCAGCTGTCTGAGTACAAGCAGTTTCACCTGCTTGAAGAAAGGACATCCAGCTGAGTAAAGCTGGGATTAGGACAAAACTACCTGTGATGCTATGGGAGCTTGAGGGGAGAAATGGAACCCCAGGTTTCTACCAATTTCTTTTGGGTAATGGAGTATTTTCTCAGAAGCTCACATTAAGAGTTGAGTGGCTCAAGGAGCACATATGTTTCAAGCCTGTTTTCTTGAGGGAAGCTCCCCCTCATTAGAAGCCTGTACTAACCAACAATGAGCTGGGTGGCTTCTCATTTACCGAACTCTGCTTTTCCAGGTGCACAACTGGAGTCCTCGAGAAGCAATAGAAGCTATTGCAAAGATCCGTCCCCACATCCTCATCCGCCACAAACAGGTCCAGGTTTTGGAGAGATTTCACAAGCATGTGATTGCTGGGACAGCTTCACAAAGTGAGCAAAAGCCATCAGAGACCACCTTCCAGTTCCCCCCAAAAAACTTTGAATCTTAGTGAATAAGAGTCATGCTTCTCAGCCACCAATAAAGAACTTCTTCAACTCATTCTTGTAAAGGGGAGTTTAGGTTCTTCCTAACTCCATGTCCTTATTATTACAATGCATAATCTACTAGTTGTCCAGTGTTTTCTGTTTGCCTTCCCCTCCCCCCAATTATTTCAGGGCACCTGTATGTTTAGCACCGTCTCTACAGGGGACAGAGCTATGTCATAAACGGTGCATGTTACCATTGACAGCAGAGTCCACATGTATCCCACTATAGACCTTTATTCAGACTCTCGTGCAAGAGACTACAATGCCAGGAGACAGGCTGGTAGGAAAATAATTGTTCCATCTTGCACCAGCATACTATTCTGTATAACAATAGCAGGGTAGGATCCCTCAGTACAAGGGCAGGAGAACCAACAATGGCATAAGAACAGTTTCCCTCTGTCTGTAGTTGAAAAAATAGCAGCAAACAGGTTCCCCACCATCTATTACAACTGCTGTACAACATGGTAGAGTAAGACACTTTGGGCCCCTCTCTGAAATCTGTCTGCTGTAAGGTCCATAATGCCTGTGGCCTAAAGGCCTGCAGCACTGGTGAGGAACACTCATAATCTAGTTCCCATTCAAATAGGGACCTTTCTTAAGAAGTTACAGGGGGTCCACTCCAAAACATAACCTCCAAGATTAGACTAACTTGTTCAGAAATGCATAAGCTTCTGTAAGTAAGAGCTATGACACGATGCATCTGACAGTAGGCCCTTGCCTACAAAAGTCTAAAAGGTGCCATCCTGCTGTGACTTGAGACTAACACAGCTAACTACCTCTCTCTCCAAGATTATTACATGGAAAGGCTGTATCAAGAAGGGATTTGTTAGCTAGCTATAGAACCTGCTGGTAGTGGTTAGCTCCAGGCCTAAGGAATCCTATTTGCTGCAGTCTGAGCTTTGGAAACCCAAGCAGCTTTATATCCAGGGGCCATAGTAATAGCATTTAATCTGTCTGGAATTTACAATGCAGCAAGTCAACTTGGAGTGCTAGGTGAGGGAACAACCCCACAGCCAGGACAGAGCAGGGCTAAAGAGATCTATAGGATACTGTGGTCTTGCTGGGGCAGCTGCTAAGGGGTTGGGTGCTTCAGCTGCTTTTTGAAAGTCCTCATTGTCCTGTCACTGGACTGATCCTCCTCAAGCCAGCACAAACTGCAAGTTAGTGAGCAGCACTTTGATGCCACTGGTGACTGTAACCACAGAGGTGGCTGGATTGAGTTTGAAAGTATTGGCATCTCCCTTTTTGTAGCGATCTCGAAAGACATATATGCTGCCATTACAACTGGCAATTTTCCAGAGGGATGGTACTGAGCTCCAAGCGTCAGGCAGACACAGCCGAGTGAAGCTATCCAGTAGGGGATTATAGCATAGCAGTGAGTCCCCTTCTGCAACAATAAACACCAGGTCCTTGTGTACAGCAGCATGCATGCGGCCTGCAAAGGGTAACACATAGGGCTTCACATGGCATTTCTCTGTGTTGGTGTCATAACACTGAATGAGTCGGGAGGGCTTGGTAAAGAAGTCTAAGTCATTCTCCTCTCCACCCAGCAGGTAAATCACACCATTGAGGTTTACCCCGGAAGCCCCAGAGACAGCTACTTCAAGCTGGCTGGTCTCTGTCCACACATTGTCTCGCACCCTGTAGTATATAACAGCATTGGAAAGTGTGTCCTGCAGCGTTTTCCCCCCTAGCGAATAGATAGCATCCTTGCTTGGCACAGAGACCAGGGTGTGCTGGAGCCGGTCACGGGGCAAAGGGGCACACCATTCCCAGTCTATGGTGGCATTGTTACATTTCCACATGCGCCGTGGAATGGAGCCACCTACAACATACAAGTCGCTACCATGCTTGCAGGCTGCAGTGATCTGGTGACATAGGCTATTCTGGCCACTGACACTTATGGAATCATCATCAGCACAGTGCAGAGAAACAGCAAGCGAGTGTGTACGAGATGACTCCTTTCCAATCAGGTAGATGTGAACATTTTCCCCGATCACCTGAGAAAGAGAATGATTTTTGTCAGCTACTTGTTGGAATGAATCCAGGTAGGGGATCTGCTTACACAAATGTAAAATGCTAAGGATATCCAAAGGTCTCAGTTCTTTTCAGGAGTTCTGGGGCCCAGCTGGGAGTCTGTGTGGACTGCTACCTGATCCTTCCTTACCTTACCATAGAATGTAGGATCCAAGAACTCCCACATACCAAGCCTCATGCCTTTCCTAGAAGTCATATTTATCTCTGAACTCACATAATGAGCAGATGACTGGCCCTCAATTTATGAACCCAGGCTGCAGTTTAATCTCATCACAACATTCAGGGAGCAGAGCTATAGACAGGAGAATGTCAACCTCTAAACTAAGTTACACTCCCTTTGCTATGAATCTAGGTTAGACCACTAACACCTGGCAAAAACAACCCCAAAAATTAAGGTCACTGTTGGCATGTGGAGTTTCCATTTAAGGCAACAAAAGTGTTCCTGGCAGTGAAGTCACAACTTATTCAAACGTGCCAGAAGTCACAGATGAAGGCAGAAGGACCTTCCTCAGCAGGTCTGGAACCAAAACAGCACAGGACTGCACTAACCCCAAGACAGATACCTTCAGACTGGATCGCAATGTCTCTGAGAAGCCTGCCCGCTCGTCTTTGTTGAAGTTGATCCAGGTGTCTATGGAAACTGTTGGATTCTGAGAACATGGAACACCATCTGTGGTTTTCAGAGACACAAAAATGAAGGGAAGGAAGGAAGGAAGAGAGAAGAGAGAGGAAGTAGGCAAAGATTGAAGAGTGATGGAGAGAAGCGAGGAATGGAGAAAACAAGGAACAGAAGGAGAGAGGCAGTGGTGA